CCGACTCTAGCCGTGGCTGGGTATCGAACTCAGCCGGGTTCATTCATAGCGCCGTGTTTTAGACCACCGAGGCAGTGAGCGAGAAGGAAGACTGTACAGTAGTTCTGTTTTCGAATCAATGACGCAGATTACGTGGAGTGGAAGCCGTCGGGAAATTTTGTGGGCAGCACACGGCACAGTGGAACCAAAACCCACTGCTCTAACCCGCAACGTGAACCGTTCCCACGTCCATACTCCCCGCATTCTCCAACCCGCGCTTGACACAAGCCTCGTGAAGTAAAAGCCAACGAGAGTGAGTTTCGTCGCGCGCTCGTCGGCCTTGGAAGGCGTCTTCGTGAGTCGCCCGTGTGGCGGTAAGGGCCCGGGGCCCCCGCCGTCGCCGCACCTCCCATGAGCACGGTTGTCCAAGCACGGCGCGAAAGAAGTTCAACACGCATACGTACAGTTGCCAGTTATTAAAACTAAACTATTTTCATGTTACCAGGCAAAGGCCCACTGAGCTATAATCTTCTGTTTCAGAAGCGACCTGGCCACAAACATCTCAACGAAGTTGGCTTATCGTGTGGAAATTTATCGCGGAGCAAATAACTTCGAAAATTTAAACGCATGTTTCTAAATGTGGTTGCCCATTAAAAACTGCACTGGACGAGCAGCGTTGCCTTTTAGGGCCACGCACGGTGTGACTGACTGACGGGAGGGTTTCTAGGGCCACGCACGGTGTGACTGACGGGAGGGTTTCTAGGGCCACGCACGGTGTGACTGACGGGAGGGTTTCTAGGGCCACGCACGGTGTGCCTGACTGACGGGAGGATTGCTAGGGCCACGCACGGTGTGACTGACGGGAGGATTGCTAGGGCCACGCACGGTGTGACTGACTGACGGGAGGATTGCTAGGGCCACGCACGGTGTGACTGACTGACGGGAGGGTTTCTAGGGCCACGCACAGTGTGACTGACTGACGGGAGGGTTGCTAGGGCCACGCACGGTGTGACTGACGGGAGGGTTTTGGTTATCACGCCTCAAGTTTTGAAAAGACTCTTGCCTGCATCTCACCATCTTGGTTCAGGGTGCCACCCACCAGATGCCCCCCCCCGGGTGCCCACCCACCAGATGCCCCCCCCCCCGGGTGCCCACCCACCAGATGCCCCACCCCCTCCCCTCTCTCGCCATCCACACCACGGACACAGGTCGTGTGGCGATGCCACCACCACTAACTACTCACTGCAAGCAGTGCACAGGCAAAGTTAACGTAGAAACCTCCACGCGTGAGTCAACAATAATAATGAATCACTAACACTGTAACACTGTGGCCTCGAAGAGAAAAGTAAAATACTACAGCTGACGTTTCGGGTGATGGCCCTTCTTCATCGCACAATAGGATGCCAGGGAGAAAGCAGATAATAGTCGAGAGATTTCACTTGCACCATTGGGCCTGATGAGAATTTAAAAAAATTATATTTCCTGATGAGTAATTCGGAAGTTCACCAAAAATGTTTCAAACCGCACAGTGTGTATTCGTCAACAAACACTGTAGCCTTAAAATAAAATAAAAACATAATTGGCGACACTTTGGGTATACAGACGTTCTTTCCTTCGTCGTGAGCCCACAGGCCGAGGCAAGAGAAGAAGAGTCGATGACTCGGGGATGGACGAGGGGGCGAACAGGAGGAGGCGGACACTTGTTTCTTCTCACTCTGTGTTTCTTCTCACTCTGTGTTTCTTCTCACTCTGTGTGTTTCTCCTCACTGTGTTTCTTCTCACTCTGTGTGTTTCTACTCACTCTGTGTGTTTCTACTCACTCTGTGTGTTTCTACTCACTCTGTGTGTTTCTACTCACCGTGTTTCTTCTCACCCTGTGTGTTTCTCACTCTGTGTGTTTCTTCTCACTCTGTGTGTTTCTACTCACCGTGTTTCTTCTCACTCTGTGTGTTTCTCCTCACTGTGTTTTTCTCACTCTGTGTGTTTCTCCTCACTCTGTGTTTCTTCTCACTCTGTGTGTTTCTCCTCTGTGTTTCTTCTCACTCTGTGTGTTTCTCACTCTGTGTTTCTCCTCACTCTGTGTGTTTCTCCTCACTCTGCGTTTCTCCTCACTCTGTGTTTCTCCTCACTCTGTGTTTCTCCTCACTCTGTGTTTCTCACTCTGTGTGCGTTTCTCACTCTGTGTTTCTTCTCACTCTGTTTCTCACTGTGTGTTTCTTCTCACTGTGTGTTTCTTCTCACTGTGTTTCTCCTCACTGTGTGTTTCATCTCACTCTGAGTGTTTCTCCTCACTCTGTGTTTCTTCTCAGTGTTTCTTCTCACTGTGTGTTTCTTCTCACTGTGTGTTTCTCCTCACTGTGTGTTTCGTCTCACTCTGTGTGTTTCGTCTCACTCTGTGTGTTTCGTCTCACTCTGTGTGTTTCGTCTCACTCTGTGTGTTTCTTCTCACTCTGTTTCTTCTCACTCTGTTTCTCCTCACTCTGTGTTTCTCCTCACTCTGTGTTTCTCCTCACTCTGTGTTTCTCCTCACTCTGTGTTTCTCCTCACTCTGTGTTTCTCCTCACTCTGTGTTTCTCCTCACTCTGTGTTTCTCCTCACTCTGTGTTTCTCCTCACTGTGTTTCTCCTCACTCTGTGTTTCTCCTCACTGTGTTTCTCCTCACTCTGTGTTTCTCCTCACTCTGTGTTTCTCCTCACCCTGTGTGTGTTTCTCACTCTGTGTGTTTCTTCTCACTCTGTGTGTTTATAAACAGTGCAGCATCACCGTCTCGCAGCCAGGTACAGTAGTGGCGGTCCAGATGTCTTGTGACACCCTCACCAAATCAATCGACCGCCCTAAAATTTTTTTGCCTTCGCGTATTCATTTCTATTTTAAATAACCACCTTACTTTAATTAATAAATATAAACATTCGGTTTGGGAGGATTAAACGTGGGTCACAAGACATCTGGACCAGCCCTGCACAACGCCTGCGAGTTACCCTACGCAACATGGCGGCCACCCGCTGACCCATCGCCATTGTAGAGGCCATGGCTGTGGGCGGGGCACCGCGGATCACGGTGATGATGATGTGGTGATGGTGATGATGGTGGTGGTGGTGATGATGATGGTGGTGGTGATGATGGTGGTGGTGATGATGATGGTGGTGATGATGATGGTGGTGATGATGATGGTGTGGTGATGGTGGTGTGGTGATGGTGGTGATGATGATGGTGGTGATGGTGGTGGTGATGATGGTGGTGGTGGTGATGATGGTGGTGATGGTGATGATGATGGTGATGGTGGTGGTGATGATGGTGTGGTGATGGTGGTGATGATGATGATGGTGGTGATGGTGGTGGTGATGATGGTGGTGATGATGATGGTGATGATGGTGTGATGGTGTGATGATGATGATGGTGGTGATGGTGGTGATGATGGTGGTGATGGTGGTGGTGATGATGGTGATGATGGTGTGGTGATGGTGGTGTGGTGGTGATGGTGGTGATGGTGGTGGTGATGGTGGTGGTGATGATGGTGTGGTGATGGTGGTGTGGTGGTGATGATGGTGATGATGGTGTGGTGATGGTGGTGTGGTGGTGGTGATGATGGTGGTGGTGATGATGGTGATGATGATGGTGATGATGGTGGTGGTGATGTGGTGGTGATGGTGGTGTGGTAGTGTTGATGGTGGTGATGATGGTGATGGTGGTGATGATGGTGGTGGTGATGGTGGTGGTGATGGTGGTGTGGTAGTGTTGATGGTGGTGATGATGATGGTGATGATGGTGGTGATGATGGTGTGGTAGTGTTGATGGTGCGGTAGTGGTGATGGTGATGGCGGTGATGATGGTGATGATGTTGATGATGGTGGTGTGGTAGTGTAAGCGGTCCCGAGTTCGATTCCCCGCTCAGGGCCCTAACACCGATGACGGTTCTCTTGAACCGGTCCTGGGCCTGTCTGCCTCAAAACGAGTGCCGGGTGCGATGGTGTAAACATTGGCGCTTAGGGAGACAAAGGCGGCCGGGCGTGGTCGCTTCTGCCCCCCCCAATTGTTGTACCGTGCCGTTCTTCACAGGTGCTACATCGTGTGTGTGGGTCTGTGTGTGTGTGTGTGTCTCTGTGTGTGTGTGTGTCTCTGTGTGTGTGTGGGTCTCTGTGTGTGTGGGTCTCTGTGTGTGTGGGTCTCTGTGTGTGTGTGTGGGTCTCCGTGTGTGTGTGGGTCTCTGTGTGTGTGTGTGTCTCTGTGTGTGTGGGTCTCTGTGTGTGTGGGTCTCTGTGTGTGTGGGTCTCTGTGTGTGTGGGTCTCTGTGTGTGTGGGTCTCTGTGTGTGTGGGTCTCTGTGTGTGTGTGGGGAAGGGTGTGTGGGTCTCTGTGTGTGTGTGGGTCTCTGTGTGTGTGTGGGTCTCTGTGTGTGTGTGGGTCTCTGTGTGTGTGTGGGTCTCTGTGTGTGTGTGGGTCTCTGTGTGTGTGTGGGTCTGTGTGTGTGTGTGGGTCTCTGTGTGTGTGGGGGTCTCTGTGTGTGTGGGGGTCTCTGTGTGTGTGTGGGGGTCTCTGTGTGTGGGGGGAAGGGTGTGTGGGGGGAAGGGTGTGTGGGTCTCTGTGTGTGGGGGTCTCTGTGTGTGGGGGTCTCTGTGTGTGGGGGTCTCTGTGTGTGTGGGTCTCTGTGTGTGTGGGTCTCTGTGTGTGTGGGTCTCTGTGTGTGTGGGGGTCTGTGTGTGTGTGAGGGTCTCTGTGTGTGTGGGTCTCTGTGTGTGGGTCTCTGTGTGTGTGTGGGTCTCTGTGTGTGTGTGTGGGTCTCTGTGTGTGGGGGTCTCTGTGTGCGTGGGGGTCTCTGTGTGCGTGGGTCTCTGTGTGTGTGGGGGTCTCTGTGTGTGTGGGGAGAAGGGTGTGTGTGGGTCTCTGTGTGTGTGGGTCTCTGTGTGTGTGTGGGTCTCTGTGTGTGTGGAGGGAAGGTGTGTGGGTCTCTGTGTGTGTGGGTCTCTGTGTGTGAGGGTCTCTGTGCGCGTGTGGGGGGGATTATTTGATGGCGCCGCGGATTACCTGCGTCACCATGTCTCGCACCACGTCCAGGTCGCCGTTCTTGAGCGCCCACATGAAGTCCTTGTCGCCCATGGCGCTGCCTGGGCCCAGACGCTGAGCAGCGAGCGGCAGAGCGAGAGAGGCTGTGTGGGTGGGGTGGTGGTGGGTGGGGTGGTGGTGGGTGGGTGACGCCGCCTCGCCCACACCCACAAAGAGCCTTCGCCACGCCCAACACTATTAGCATGGTCCTTGCCCACTGAATTACCATGGTCCTTGCCCACTTAATTAACATGGTCCTTGCCCACTGAATTAACATGGTCCTTGCCCACTGAATTACCATGGTCCTTGCCCACTGAATTAACATGGTCCTTGCCCACTGAATTAACATGGCCCTTCCCACTGAATTAACATGGTCCTTGCCCACTGAATTACCATGGTCCTTGCCCACTTAATTAGCATGATCCTTGCCCACTGAATTAACATGGTCCTTGCCCACTGAATTAACATGGTCCTTGCCCACTGAATTAACATGGTCCTTGCCCACTGAATTAACATGGTCCTTGCCCACTGAATTAACATGGTCCTTGCCCACTTAATTAGCATGGTCCTTGCCCACTGAATTACCATGGTCCTTGCCCACTTAATTAGCATGGTCCTTGCCCACTGAATTAACATGGTCCTTGCCCACTGAATTAACATGGTCCTTGCCCACTGAATTAACATGGCCCTTCCCACTGAATTAACATGGTCCTTGCCCACTGAATTACCATGGTCCTTGCCCACTGAATTAACATGGTCCTTGCCCACTGAATTACCATGGTCCTTGCCCACTTAATTAGCATGGTCCTTGCCCACTGAATTAACATGGTCCTTGCCCACTTAATTAGCATGGTCCTTGCCCACTGAATTAACATGGTCCTTGCCCACTGAATTACCATGGTCCTTGCCCACTTAATTAGCATGGTCCTTGCCCACTGAATTAACATGGTCCTTGCCCACTTAATTAGCATGGTCCTTGCCCACTGAATTAACATGGTCCTTGCCCACTGAATTAACATGGCCCTTCCCACTGAATTAACATGGTCCTTGCCCACTGAATTAACATGGTCCTTGCCCACTGAATTAACATGGTCCTTGCCCACTGAATTAGCATGGCCCTTGCCCACTGAATTAGCATGGTCCTTGCCCACTGAATTAACATGGTCCTTGCCCACTTAATTAGCATGATCCTTGCCCACTGAATTAACATGGTCCTTGCCCACTGAATTAACATGGCCCTTCCCACTGAATTAACATGGTCCTTGCCCACTGAATTAGCATGGTCCTTGCCCACTGAATTAACATGGTCCTTGCCCACTGAATTAACATGGCCCTTCCCACTGAATTAACATGGTCCTTGCCCACTGAATTAACATGGTCCTTGCCCACTGAATTAGCATGGCCCTTGCCCACTGAATTAGCATGGTCCTTGCCCACTGAATTAGCATGGTCCTTGCCCACTGAATTAGCATGGCCCTTGCCCACTGAATTAGCATGGTCCTTGCCCACTGAATTAACATGGTCCTGCCCACTGAATTAACATGGACCTGCCCACTGAATTACCATGAGCCTGCCCACTGAATAACCATGGTTCTACCCATGAAACTAGCATGGTTCTACCCATGAAACTAGCATGGCTATTGCTCACGAAATGCTCCACGCCCCTTAAAAAATACATGGTCCCTCCTACGAAATTGGCATGGTCTCACCCACTAAATAGAATCGTTTCGCCTGTGAGTCTATCACGGTCCCACCAACGAAATGACCATGGTCCCGCCCACTAATTTACCATGGTCCCGCCCACTAATTTACCATGGTCCCGCCCACTAATTTACCATGGACCCGCCCACTACCATGATCCTGCCCAAGGAATTGTCATGGTCTCGCCCACTGAGCTGTATGGACCCACCCACGATATTACCATGGCCCCGCCCACAATACACATATTTTTACTAAGGTGCTGCTTAACAATTGGTTTATTTTCTCAGTTTCTCAGTTTATTTATTTTGGTATAGCCCTGTGAGCCATTCGGCTCTTGAATCGGGTGCAACCACAACAAACAAAAAAACACGAACAAGAAAACATCTTAAAGTGACTATGTGACTGTGCAAACATAATATCCATGAAAAAACAGCAAAATATTCCTGAAAAAAGCACCGCACACCAACGCTGTCTGCAAAAAAATCCCAGTGGGATGCAAGTCAAACAACAACCACCACAAGAAAACTTAGATTAATGCCATCAGTCTAACGCCGTACTACAACAAAACAAACATGTCCAAACCAAAAAAACTTTTCAAAATCACCAAAAAATGAAACCATAATTGCAACGTAACAGTAATCACAGGGACTGTGACCGAATTTTTACAATAAACCACATAAATAACATGTAACACCAAATCCTAGAGCCATAGCTGGCTACATGAGTTACTACACAACAACAGAAGCATCAGTCGGAGTATCAAATTTTTCAATGCACCTTTAAGATTAGCACGCTAAATCAAAATACAGATAATACTTTGCAGCGTCATCCGGAGCGAAACATTTTATTTTACGCCAGTGGCAGCTAGGGGTGTACAACTCCTCTAGAGCAGTTTTGAGAGAAGATCTCATTGGTAGCGATTCAAGTTGCAGTTTATTGGCAACAGCATTCCAGACCCTGGGGGCATCAATAGCAAAGGCCCTTCCTCCAGTTTTGTACGGCAATAGGGAATGTGAAGCTGGTAAATGAGCGAAGACCTGAGGTCAAATTTGTTCTTTGAAACAGAGAGGAGATCCAGCAGGTAGTCTGCGTATTTTTTTGTAAGTACATCGTGAATAAATAAGATCTGGTGCACAAGCCGTCGAACATTAAGAGATGTTAAGTTTGACCCAATGTAGAGATCACAGTGGTGAGTCCTATATGGGCAGTTCAATGTAAATCTTAAGGCCGAGTGATAGATGGAATCAAGCTTCTTCAGTACAGTACTTGGGGCCGATTTATACTCGATGTCACAGTAGTCAAGTTGAGGCAGTATGGTAGCTTTTATCAATTCCAAACGGAACATTGGGGGGAGCAGTAGTTGTGTCGATACAGAAAACCAATTTTTATTTTTGTCTTTTTACCATTATAATCAATGTGATCTTCAAAATTCAGTTTTGAATCCAGGATGACCCCAAGATACTTATAGATCTTGACTTGCTCTATTTGATAATTATTTAAGGAATGTAATTTGGGAAAAATAACTTCCTGCTCTAGTCCTGGTGAGAAGCATAGCACGTTGGTTTTAGAGGTATTCAGGACTAGTTTAAGAGCAACTAGCTGATGTTGTAGATTGTTGAAATCACCCTGTAGCTTAGCAATCACGTAATCCGGAGAGTGGCCAGCAGTAATCAGTATCGTGTCATCTGCAAAAATATTTACCCTGGAATGATCCAGGTCAGTGCCCAAGTCATTGACATAAAGAGAGAACAAAAAGGGGCCGAGGATGGAACCCTGTGGAACCCCTTTTGTTATCTTAACACTGTTTGACCTCCAACCATCTGTGAATACAGTTTGGGTGCGAGAAAAGAGGTAATTTTGTAACCATTTTACTGCATTTTCGAAAAAACCGAGGCAACTTAATTTACTAAGCAGGGTGATGTGGTCTACTGTATCAAAAGCTTTGGACAGGTCTAGAAAAAGACAGACACAGTACTGTTTAATATCAAGGCTACTGTAAATGTGATTCAGAGAGTCTAATGCAGCAGATGTGGTGCTGTATTTTTTTCGGAACCCAGATTGTTTTAGATGTAGTAGATTGTTGGTGGACAGGAAACTGCTAATTTGGTAGGTCAATAATTTTTCAAAAAATTTCATCAACGGGGACAAAATTGAGATAGGTCGGTAGTTATTTGGATCATCTTTAGGGCCCCCTTTGTGAAGTGGACGGACATAGGAATGTTTCCATTCTAGAGGAACTGATGCTTCTTTGATGGACAGGTTGAAAATATGGGCTATAGGTTTGTATATTTGGTGGCCAACAGTTAGTAGAGCAAAGACGGGAAAACTATCTGCTCTGGTAGAGAAGGACCCTTTGAGGTAGGAAAGTTGTTTCAGAACATTACTTTCGTGGATTGGCTGGAAACTAAATTCGTTTAATGTTTGGACAGGGGTGTAGGAATTTGCATGAGCAGGGGTGCCTCCCAATATATTATCAAAAATATTACCAGCTTCAGAAAAATGAAGGTTAAAATTGTCAACTATTTTTTGGGGATCTGAAAAATATTCCCCATTTCGGTTTAGCTCAACGGGCAGATTATCTGTTTTGGATGCCTTTTCGATACATTTGATTGTTTTCCAGAAAATCCTGGCATTTGCATGTGATTCCAGGAGAGTGGAGGAAAAGTAGGCACTTTTTGCATGCCACATTTTTTTGACGCATCTATTCCTTAAAATCCTGTATTCTAGTCAGTCATTGACCAAATAACTTTTCTGAGCACATGCCCAAGCCTTGTCCCTAGTTTTTATGAGCTTTGTATTCAAAGGATCAAACCATGGTGGGCGGTTGCCTTTAGTTTTAAATCTAGCCAACGGAGCATGTTTGTTAAGAATTTGGAGAAACGTGTACCTGAAGGTCTCCCAAGCCGTAGTCAGGTTGGGGATATCACAGACCTTGTCAATATCCGAGTGAAGCGCATCATTAGTAAATGCCTGAGTGCTGAAGTGTCTCATAGAGTGCTTCTCAACTAATTTAGGGGGACTTTGGGTCTGGCTGATGATCTCACCCCAAAAATGAAGGAGTGATCACTAAGGTTATTACCCAGAACACCAGTTAGTTTGAAATTGTGTGGGGCATTTGTCAATAGGACGTCAAGCAGAGATGACTGTCCCAGATTTTTTAGGTTGGGTCTTGTGGGGACATTTATTAATTGAAACAGATTAAATTCATCTGCAAAATTTGTGGCCACGGCCGGCGGGTTTAGCCAATTCCAATTTAGATCACCCACTAAAACTATTTCAGCTTTAGGGATGCCCCCAAAAAGCTCTCTCAGTGCAGATGCAGCTTCAACATCCTTCCCACTAGGCGGTCGATAGCAGCACACTACCGATATCTGTTGATTATTTGGGAGAGTTATTCTGAGAGCCAGACCTTCAAAGCAACATTTTTTAAACAAGGAG